ACCCCCTCGCTCCACCGCCCACTCTACCTACCTGATGCGCTGGATCCACTTGGAAGAATCAGCTCCCCAGAGGCATCCATCGGACTGAGGACTTTGTCTCTTCCTCCAGCCAGGGAGGGGCAGCACAGCTGGGAGCAGGAGGGCGAGTCCCAGGAAAGGAGGAGTTGCCTGCAGCAGTTGGGGGCTGAGGATTGGGTCCCAAGACCAAGACCTCCTCCCATCTCCGTTGCATTTGATGCAATTGGCCATAGGGAGCAGGGAAAGGATTTTTTAAAATGATTTTATTTTTGATCTTTATGCATTCTAATAGATACAGGTTCTGCCCTCCTGGACACTGGAAGCAAAATGTGAAGGAACTAGAAAGCAGACCCTGTGACAGAGACCAGTGTGGTGGAAAAGACATGTACAAACCTTTTCTGCCAGATTAAAAAAAACAAAACAAGAACGGGAGAGGGGGAGGTGACTGCACTCCATAAGAAAAGAAGGACAGCCTAACTTCCCCCTGCAAAGTGCTTTATGATTTAGCTGTTGCCGCAGAAAAAGCTTTTGGCTCTCAGATGCATCTGTTGGAAACGGGTTTTTTCAAAAAAGTTTGTAGACTGCCGTACACTCACCAAAGTGGAGAGCTAGCAGAATATTCTCCTGCTGCTGTCCCCAACCTGGCAGTCTTGAGTTAAGAATTCTCAGCCTTACAATTATATAGTCCCTGGACACTTCTGGAGGATGCTAGGTTAAGGGAAGAGGATCTTACATTCTGTTTTCATAAATAAGACCACAGCCACAGAAACGAGAGGAGGCCCACCGGTGAAATTTATATGAAATGGCTTGAATATATTACCTGGATAATATTAGTTTCTTTATGGTTACCTTAAAGAAATGTGTTTATTTGAAAGGAAGGCTGGACAGACATTCATGGTCCCTCAGTAGCTAGAGACCAAGCATGCATTTGTGTGCATCCACTTTTAAATTTTCTAAATCTCACACCTGCCATCAGAGACATAGGACCTACCAAGAGAAGCGAGTATGTGTAGCTCAGGGTTGAACTGTGGAGTCCTTGGGGTTCTCTGAGCTTGGTTGTTTGCTTG